GGTAAAGATAATGGATGGATGGAAGGATGGACTTTAAAAAGTGTCAAGTCACACATTGATTGACTCTGACTCCTACGTTAGAATGTAACGGCTCCAAAAATTTGACTTTTTCTTCCTTGAGCTTTATTTATGTGGATGTTTAAAACTGGCCAAGATTCTCCAGAAACTAACTATTTTAGCACACAATGAAAGTTTGACAACAATCAAATGACAAACTGAGACGGACATTCATAAACCAGTAAAAAATAATAACAACAAAAGCGCTCTACATTTGTTTGGGTTTTTAGGGCACAAAGTGTAGTCGTGCACAAAGTTAAGCTGCTTGTTTATTAAATCCTTCTTATGTCCAACAAGGCACCAAAGCAGTTTTTGAAAAGCTTCACTTTGATAAGTTATTTAAAGAAATATCAGTTTTTCTCACTGAAAACTGTTTGTGTGTGGACAGGAGGACCAAAGACAACAGGAAATGCTTATTTTCAACAATATCTGGAGTACAGGTGCTGGTCATCCATCCATCCAGCCATTATCTTCCACTTGTTCCGAAGTCGGGTCGTGGGGGCAGTACCTTGAGCAGGGAAGCCCAGACATCTCTTTCCACAGCCATCTCTTCCAGCTCTTCTGGGAGGATTCCAAGGCGTTCCCAGGCCAAATGAGAGACATAGTCTCTCCAGCGTGTTCTGGGTCTTCCCCTGGGTCTCCTCCCAGTCGGACATGCCCGAAGCACCTCCTTAGGGAGGCGTCCAGGGAGCATCCTTAGCAGATGCCCCAACCACCTCAACTGGCTCCTCTCGATGTGGAGGAGCAGCGATTCTACTCCGAGTCTCTCCCAGATAACCGAACTTCTCACTCTGTCTCTAAGGGATAGTCCAGCTACCCTGCAGAGGAAACTCATTTCAACCGCATGTATCTGCGATCTCATTCTTTCGACCACTACCCAGAGCTTGTGACCATAGGTGAGGGTAGAAATGTAGACCGACCGGTAACTGAGAATTTTGCCTTATAGCTCAGCTCTCTCTTCACCACAACGGACCGGTACAGAGTCCACAATACTGCAGACGCTGCACCAATATTTCTGTCAATCTCATGCTCCATTCTTCCCTCACTCGTAAACAAAACCCCGAGATACTTGAACTCCTCCACTTGAGGAAGAACCTCACCCTCAATCTGGAGAGAGCAATCCACCCTTTTCCGGTTGAGGACCATGGCCTCAGATTTGGAGGTGCTGATTCTCACCCCAGCTGCTTCACACTCGGCTGTGAACCGTTCCAGTGAGAGCTGAAGATCACGGCACGATGACGCCAACAGGACCACATCATCTGCAAAGAGCAGAGATGGAATCCTGAGGCCACCGAACTGAAAACTCTCCGCCCACTGGCTGCACCAAGAAATTATGTCCATAAAAGTTATGAACAGAATCCGTGACAACGGGCAGCCCTGGCAGAGTCCAACTCCCACCCTGAAGGGGTCCGACTTACTGCCAGCAATGTGAACCAAGCTCTCACACCGCTTGTATAGGGACTGAACAGCCCGTAGCAACGGGCCCCCAATCCCATACTCATGGAGCACCCCACACAGTGTATCCCAAGGAACGCGGTCAAATGCCTTCTCCAAATCCACAAAACACATGTAGACAGGATGGGCAAACTCCTGTGACCCCTCGAGGACCCTAGTGAGGGTAAAGAGCTGATCCAGTGTTCCACGGCAAGGACAGAACCCAAATTGTTCCTCATGGATCTGAGGTTCGACCGACGATCGGACTTGCTTCTCCTGTACCCCTGAATAGAACTTACCAGGGAGGCTGAGGAGGGCGATGCCCCTATAATTGGAGCACACCCTCCGGTCCCCCTTTATAAAGAAGGGAACCACCACCCCAGTCTGCCAATCCAGTGACACTGCCTCTGATGTCCACGCAACGTTGCAAAGGGGTGTCAACCAAGACAGCCCCACAACATCCAGAGCCTTAATGAAATCACAGTGAATCTCATCCACTCCCGAAGCCCTGCCTCCTCAAAGCTTTTTAACTACCTCGGCGACTTCAGCCACAGTTATGGAGGGATCAACCCCAAAGTCCCCCGACTCAGCTTCCTCCATGGAAGACGTGCTGGTGGGATTGAGAAAGTCCGAGAAGTATTCCTTCCACTTCCCGACGACATCACTGGTTGAGGTCAACAGCAGCCCACCTTCACTGAATACAGTTAGTAAAGTGCTGCTTTCCCCTCCTCAGCCATCTGATGGTTTGCCAGAATCTCCTCGGAGCCGACCAAGAGTCGTTATCCTAGGTCTCACCGAACTCCTCCCACATCCGAGCTTTTGCCTCAGAAACAGCCAAGACTGCGGACCGCTTGGCCCTCTGGTACTCCTCAGCTGCCTCCGGAGTCCCAGTGGCCAACAAGGCCTGATAGGACTCCTCCTTTAGCTTGACAGCCTCCCTAACTTGGGTTTTTCTGCCAGGCGTTCCCAGCAAACCCTCACTACACGTTTGGGTCTACCGGGTCTGTCCGGCATCTTCCCCCGCCATCCGATCCAACTCACTACCAGGTGGTGATCAGTTGACAGCTCAGCTCCTCTCTTCACCCGAGTGTCCAAAACAAATGGCCACAAATCAAGTGACACGACTATAAAGTCTATCATCGATCTATGACCTGGGGCGTCCTGGTGCCAAGTGCACTTATGGACAGCCTTATGTTCGAACATGGTGTTTGTGATGGACAAACTATGACTAGACAGAAGTCCAACAACAGAGCACTGCTCGGGTTCAGATCAGAGAGGCTGTTCCTCCCAATCACACCCCTCCAGGTCACACTGTCATTACCCACGTGGGCATTGAAGTCCCCCAGCAGAATAAAGGAGTCCCCAGCTGGCGCACCTTCCAGCACCCCTGCCAAGGACTCCAAGAAGGCCAGATACTCTGAACTGCCGTTCGGTGCATAGGCACAGACAACAGTTAGAGCCCATCCCCCCGCCCGAAGGCGAAGGGAAGCCACCCTCTCATTTACTAGGGAAAACTCCAACACACAGGCACCAAGTTGCTGGTCATAAAATTAGAATACCATGAAAAAGTTGATTTATTTTAGTAATTCTATTCAAAAAGTGAAACGTGTATATTATATTCATTCATTACACACAGACTGATATATTTCAAATGTTTATTACTTTAAATATTGATGATTATAACTGACAAATAATGAAAACCCCAAATTCAGTTTCTCAGAAAATTAGAATATTGTGAAAAGGTTCAATATGGAGGACACCTGGTGCCACACTCTAATCAGCTAATTAACTCAAAACACTTGCAAAGGCCTTTAAATGGTCTCTCAGTCTAGTTCTGTAGGCTACACAATCATGACGAAGACTGCTGACTTGACAGTTGTCCAAAAGACGACCATTGACACCTTGCACAAATAGGGCAAGACACAAAAGGTCATTGCTAAAGAGGCTGGCTGTTCGGAGCTGTGTCCAAGCACATTAATAGAGAGACAAAGGGAAGGAAAAGATGTGATAGAAAAAAGTATACAAGCAATAGGGATAATCACACCCTGGAGAGAATTGTGAAACGAAACCCATTCCAAAATGTGGGGGAGATTCACGAAGAGTGGATTACAGCTGGAGTCAGTGCTTCAAGAACCACCATGCACAGACGTATGCAAGACATAGGTTTCAGCTGTCACATTCATTGTGTCAAGCCACTCTTGAACAAAAGACAGCGTCAGAAGCGTCTTGCCTGGGCTAGAGACAAAAAGGACTGGACTTCTGCTGAGTGGTCCAAAGTTATGTTCTCTGATGAAAATAAATTTTGCATTTCCTTTGGAAATCAAGGTTCCAGAGTCTGGAGGAAGAGAGGAGAGGCACAGAATCCGTGTTGTGTGAGGTCCAGTATCAAGTTTCCACTGTCAGTGATGGTTTGGGGTACCATGTCATCTGCTGGTGTTGGTCCACTGTGTTTTCTGAGGTCTAAGGTCAACACAGGAAGTTTTACAGCACTTCATGCTTCCTGCTGCTGACCAACTTTATGGAAATGCAGATTTCATTTTCCAACATGACTTTGCGCCTACGCACAGTGCCAAAACTACCAGTACCTGGTTTAAGACCATGGTAATCCTGTTCTTAATTGGTCAGCAAACTCAACTGACCGTAACCCCATAGAAAATCTATGGGGTATTGTGAAGAGGAAGATTCGATATGCCAGACCCAACAATTCAGAAGAGCTGAAAGCCACTATCGGAGCAACCTTGGCTCTCAAGTACTGTCCTCCTGAGTGCCACAGAATGATCGACTCCATGCCACGCCGCATTGCAGCAGTAATCCAGGCAAAAGGAGTCCCAACTAAGTATTGAGTGCTGTACATGCTCATACTTTTTATGTTCATACTATTCATGTTCATACTTTTCAGTTGGCCAACATTTCTAAAAAAATATTTTTTATTGGTCTTAAGTAATATTCTAATTTTCTGAGATAATGAATTTGGGGTTTTCATTATTTGTCAGTTATAATCATCAACATTAAAAGAAATATATACATTTGAGAAATATCAGTCTGTGTAATGAATGAATATAATATACAAGTTTCACTTTTTGAATGGAATTACTGAAATAAATTAACTTTTTCATGATATTCTAATTTTATGACCAGCACCTGTATTGTGGACACAAATTTTTGTAGTTTTATCGAAGAAGTTAAAAGTTTTGTTTTTGGTTTAATGCTCTGTCTGTTTTGAAATCGACTGCATTTGCATGAAGAGGTGCTGCCAAGTACATTGACAGCTCGACAAAGCAGCTTTCGTGTCTATGATTAAAAAAAAAAAAACAATAGAAATGGTTTTCTTTGGTAAACTTCAGTTTATTGTTTTCATCCCAACGATGTTGTTGCCCTGAAGAACCAGCAAGTAGTCTTCAGTCTCTGTGAACCTGATCGGACCCTCACCTCTTGCATGTCCAGCTTCCTAGACCGAACTGAGGCTGTTGCCTTGGCAACCGCCTAAGACTTGATGGTGTATTTCCCAGGTTACCCTCAGACTGTCCACAGGCGCGGATTGAGAGCTTGTCTCATACGACTCTTTTCATGCTCGGCGGGCAAAAAGCCATCCTCCAGTCCTCAAAGCAAGTGGCTCTTCTTTGTGTGATGGTTTATGTCTGAGCTGGTGTTTGTTCGTGTGGTCAGAGTACGCTCCAACTCTGCGACAATGTTAGACTTTGGAAATACAGTACGTTTTATTATCATTTCCCTGAGGAACATTTGGTTTCAACCACAGTAAAAACAATGCTCAGTTGTGTAGAATCATGTGATGATAGGACAGATAACCATGAATCCATTCCTCACCTGTACAGCTTGTGGAATAACTCCATTAAGAGTGCACAATTAAGCCGTGTTTATTTAACGTATTCGTGCAAACATCACCTGTAAACGTGCTCTGCTGGATGATTTCGTCCTCATATCTGATGCTAATGAGGCCCTTGGACCATGTGTCACACCTCAGGTGGATGAGAGTCGGAGGACAGTGCAGTCTGTGTCAGTGTCTGCCATCATTACAGGCCCATTAAAACATTCCAGCAGCTTTAATTGTGTCCTCTCACGCAGACGCTCAGCGCCACGCTGACTTTTGCTCCTCATTCCTAACAACACTAATTACTCCTGATGGCAGCTTTGTTGTAAAGGAGGACAACGAACCGGACTAAATCTGATGCAGTTGTGTGGCTGAATGTTGGACTTCATTACCGCCCATTGCCAAAAGGCAAAATGCAGATGATGGTTGTTAGCCAAACATCTCATGAACCAGTGAGGATTTTACAAGAAACTGCCAAAGTAATCATCGGATGCACATCTGCATCTGATTAGCTTTCAAAGTTAGCCTTACCTTAGCAAACACATGGCTAAAACTTACAAATACTGAGCTCAGATTTGGTGTGGTAGTAGCTGAGAGTCATCCTTAACTCATACTGTGAGTGCTAATGGGTTGCATAACAACTTTGTTTTAAATTTTATTGTTAACTATTGGGCTCAGTTCTGCCTGTTAGCAAATATTGCATGACTTCACTTGACACAATAAAATAAAATGACTCTCAAAGTAATCGTTGGATGTACATTTCCATCTAGATCGGGGATGTTCAATTGGTGGTCCAGGGGCCAAATCAGGCCCACAGGGGAGCTCAGTTCAGCTCACCAATGGGTTAATTTTTAAATAAAACTTGATTTTAAATCGTAAAACAACCTTACGTAATGACAATAACTGTTGGATGTCCGGCCCCTGAGCGCTCGGGTTCCATTAACTGTGGCCCCCGGAGCAGTTTAGATGAATGGACGTAACGTTAAACTCAAGGTTTGAGTAAAACACACCTTCATCTCTTAGTATCGGTTAAAGATGATCTCAGTTTAAAACTCTGGCATGAAGGACAGCGGGCGATATGCATTCCTGCAAGGACTATTAGGCCTTTGATTGGTGAAGTGTGAAAATCCTAATGTTTCTGAAATTTGGAAGATAAAGCAAATTTTCAACAAACTTCTTCCTTCTCCTCTTCAGACAGCGTTGAAGATGAACTGGAGCTGTCTACAGTCCGCCATCGCCCCGAGGGCCTGGAGCAGCTGGAAGCTCAGACACGTTTCTCCCGGAAGGAGCTACAGATCCTCTACCGTGGCTTCAAGAACGTGAGTGGCACACCCTTCATATAACAGCAGGCTTTGAACGTCTCTTTCTGACATCAATATATTTGCTAGTCTTTGATTTTCTGTGCTCTGCTGTAACTGGAAGGTGCTTTTGTTCAGTCTTCATCACTGTTCAGCTTCTTTTCTGTTTCTAGCAGGGAAAAAGTTACGTTGAATCATTTGAAACCATTGCTTGATGTTGTGCCACCCACCGGTGTTTACCAGCGAGTATTGACATTTGTACATGTTCTCTGTCTAAAATTATTGGGTCATACATCAAACCAGCAGCACAGGATTATTGTCGAACAGTCTGGACCAGCAGTTCCTAAAGCTGGGGTCAGGATCCCATTGTGGGTCATAAATCACCATCTCTGGTCTCTTGAGAAGATCTATGTGTTATATTCAATTTTAAAAAAGATTGCTAATAACATTTTGCAATAATGTTCCTATAGGGGATAAAACATGGTCATGAATTGATGAACAAATAATAAAGTTCAGCAATAAAAAATCTGCAAAAGTCTGGAGTTAGTGTTCGACCTCAAGTCCACCACTGGTTTCTCAAAGTTTCCCAGCCTTGTACCCCCGAAAAGTACAGTAGTCCCTGATTTATCGCAGGGATTACGTTCCAGACATTCCTGTGATAGATGAAAACCCGCGAAGTAGGAACGTTATATTTATTTTAGTTTTTATATATTTTAAGGCTTTATAAACCCTTCTCACACACTTGCAGTGTTCAGAACTCTTAACTCTCATTTTAACAAGATACAGTACGTATGTTAGGGCTGGGCGATACGGCATAAAATCAATATCACAATATATTGAGCAGTTCACCTCGATAACGATAAACGATAACTGCAGCCCCCGAAAATAATGTGATAGGCCGGCATAAATAATTCACAGCCAGTTATATTGATGTTATAATTCCCTTTTTATTACCACTTTAATGAACTTTATTTAAAACTACAGCTTCTGCTGATAAATGAAAAAAATGTGTACTTTTAGTAGTTGGTAGTTTTTGAAGAAATAAGCACAACTGAACAAAGTTAATTATATAATATAATATATATTAACTTTCCTGTAAACACAAAGTATTAAAAAATACAATCTCTTATAAATGAAATGGTCACATTTGAGTTGTCAAGTATTCCCTTGTAAATAAAACTAAATAAAAAATAAATTTCACATTTGCCATTTGGAAAAATAAATAATGAGTTGTGCAAAGATCTACCTCTCTGTAAAGATCTCTTGTAAACAGTTCAAGGCTAACGCTTTTTTTTTTAATTAGCTGCTCCTCTTCCTCGTGGACCAGCTCTGCTGCTGCCGCTTCAACATTCGAAATTTCCTCCATTTTCTCAACCGCACCGTCTCTTTCACTTCTTGTTACAGACTGGATGGGGTGGAGTCACGTGACCACAGACTGCACGTAGCGCAGCGTCTTAAAGGGAATGGGCATAGCTTACCTATACAGCCAAAAGACAAAACAACTTTTATTTTTTTCAAAACACCGAAAATACCGACATGGGTAAAATGACGTCGATCATTGTTATAAATTTCAGTGTCAGTTAATTTTCAGTATATTACCCAGCCCTAGTATATGTACTGTACAGTACTGCAAAATTTTACTTAGCAGCGCTACAGACCAGCAGCTGCGGGCTCTGTTCTGTTCAGCTACCCTGCAGCATGACGAAGCCCACCGCCCCGTCCAGGTGGATGTGTGCGTGCTGCTGCGCCAGGTAGAACACTCTGTGCGCGAGGCTTCTCGGGATTCAGCCCAGGTCTAGACCAGCACCGCGGCGACCAGAACCAGGCCGAACCTCGCCACCGTCTGTCCCTGCAGCCCCCAGGATCGGGGTCATACTGAGTCTGGATCAACTGCAGTCCAGGTACTCACCAGTGAAGATACAACTTGAAGGATGAGTTCAGCTTCAGGATATTTGCGACGTTCCTGCCAGTTCTGTGAACTTAATATATAGATCCTCCCTCCATTGCTGCCATTTTAGCAGAAAGCAGTGGCAGGAAACACCGTTGGCTTCTGGGTAGTGTAGTTCTTTTTTGACTGGCATTGCAGTATAGGCTTATTGAAAGAAAACTACAAAATGGTGGTGCCTGTCCAAAGTGTATTTTTTTTGGTTTTGTTTTTGTTTTTTGTCCTACTGGTTGGTTCCTGCTCCCATTAACTTTTTATCCCGTACCGTCCCAATCACTTGAGTACTATTAAAGTTGACAATCGTGTGTCGTGTACAAGCTTGCTTTGAAAAACTGCGAATGTCGAACCGCGAAGTAGCGAGGGACTTCTATATGTGGTTTGGAAATAAATAAGGTAAAACGCACACATCACTGTAAATGATTGTTTACATATAGAGTAAATATATAAATAAAGGTATTTAACACCCTAGGGATTTTCAAATTAGGTCCAATGTATTGAAAGATATAATGTATACCTATTTTAGAGTATTTATGTATGAAGGTTTCTTTTTCTAAATACTTTGGAAAAATTTAAAGTACCCCATGGAACACCTTCAACCTCCAAATGTAAGTCTGAGGGTCCTACCCCAGAGAATTTTGGATAAAGTAGATGCCCTTTCCTGCATTCTGGTGCATTTTACAAAGGTTTATTCCAGTAGATTAACATGAAACTAAAGATGTAAACTCATTATTGAAATGACTGCAAAGCGTTCTTAACGCAAAACCGCTGCAGCTCTGCAGGTGAGGGGCGTTCACTTCAGGACAAATTGATTTAGCTGATTTGTCAGTTGCTTAATTGTCAGTTATAAACATCAACATTAAAAGCAACAAAACATTTGAAATATATCAGTCTGTGTGTAACGAATGAATATACAAGTTTCACTTTTTGAATGGAATTACTGAAATAAATAAACTTTTTCACAATATTCTAATTTTATGACCAGCACCTGCATTTCAAATTAACTTTTAATCACTTTATGTGTGATTTATAAGTGTATTAAGGATCATTTGTCATTTAATTAGTAGATCCCACACCGGGGTCAGCTGAGCCTCATCATCCTCCTCACTGCTCTGCAGTGATTCACATCAGATTGTTCACAAAAGCGCAGGAACTTATGCATAATGCAAAACTTTAATTATGTTTGTGTTTTTAATGAAATTGCCCATGACTTTGAACTTTTAGGGGTGGATTTTATTTTTTAAGAGCAGAAGCAGAAGGACCAGCTCTGATGTGATATTAGGAAGCTTTGTTTAAAATTGTAGTTTTATTTAGCTAATAGTTTTACAGTCACTCTTTGTCAGGCGGGTTGAAAAATATGCAGCGTAATCCTTCAAATGCGCAGACACAGCCGCGCGCCTCCTCCTGTCCTGTCTGCTCCAGACCACGCAGCTAAATGACTCCACCCGAACGGGGTAGAACCAATCTGCGCATGCGTCTAACAGAAACTGAAACTTACCACTTGTGTATGTTGACCTGCGTCAAGAGTCATTGACACATGTGGTGGAGATAATCCAATAATTTTTCAAAATAAAAGTTTTTTTTTTCACTCGCTCTCTGTGCGGCCCGGTATAAATTGAACCACGGCCCAGTACCGGTCCGCAGCCCGCTGGTTGGGGACCACTGCTCTAAGGGACTTGGTGAACTCCTAAAGACAGAAGACACGTGACAGAGTTTATATCCTTCAAGTTTTGCTGGTTAGATGTTTGAGTTAAGCCTCACACAGAAGCTGCTTTGTTTGTCTTCGTTTTGAACGTCTGTGAATAAACAGCACTTCTGTGACTTTATTATTGTGAAGGAGCGCTTTAAAGAGCAGGGCTAATAGAAGCTGCCTGGTGTCCCGTGATGAGAAATGTGTCCTTGTTGTCAAGGGATTGGAGGCAAATCAAGTGGCCGAGGTCATTTGTCCCGACAGCAGACTTTATGAGGCACTGCTTCAGAACACAGCTGGTCAAAGTATCGTCTGGTCTTCGATCTGGAAAATGTTTAGTAAGAATCCAAAACAAGACCTCCGATTCTGACCTTAGCAGTGGGAGATAATTTATTGTTTCATAAATCCCTCTTCCTCAGGCCACAAGAAGACACACAATATTGTCCTCACGTCTGGCCGAATCCTCCGGGGCTCCACGATTCCCTCCGAGGTCACTGGTTCCACGCTTAGATTAAGATCTGGCACTTTGTATTCCATTGGTCACGATGCTGCTGCTCGCAGCGTTGCTTCAGCCCTCGGTGCCGATCCACTTCACGGGTCTTCAGCTGAGGGTTCATGCCTGACTGCTGTTTCACAGATCGTATTGGGGATTTTCTGATCATGAATGAGCTAAATGTACGAGCACGTCAAATAATGATATCGTGCACAAACCGCCTAATGAGATCGTCTGAATTATCTGCTGAATGAAACGAATCCAGAGGGAGGAGGAGGAAATTGACTTATCGTGTTGCATCTTCGATGTAATTACAGTTTCTTTTTGTCTATTTGTTTTAATAAAGACGTGCAAAAGATAACACATATTAACAGGAAGTGGAAATCTGATTCAAGTACTTAAAGAAACTGAATTTAAAAAGTAAAAATTTGCCCCAAAATGGCAATTCTTTGGACATCCAGACAATCAAACCTTATGAAAGCCCAGCCTCAATGTGATGAAGACGGTGCAGCTTTTCTGCATCAGTTTGAGACAAAATGTTTTATTTGATCAGTAGAGGATCTTTAACTTATTTCTCAATTACACTATCTTTAAGACAATTTTTTTAATCAAAACATGCTAAATTTAAACAATAAAAATGTGAGTTTTGGGCATTTAAAATAATGTGTCGTGAAAATGTCTGTTTTCCCTCTAAACAGCTTCTTTGGTCTTGATTAGCAAGTAGCTGCAGGCTGTCGTTCATTCGACCTTTGTTTATGCAGGTTAGTCTCACTGAGTCACGAGGACATGATAAACCACGTGCACGTTACCAGGATTTAAATGAGCGACTTGTCTTTCTGACGTAAACATTCAGCTCAAAAACACTCTGCTACGTTTATGATTGTCCTCCATGAGCT